GCTTAACTTATCTCAAAACAGATTCGATTTGATATTTTAAACTCCTAGACTTAATCTAGGCTCGACCTATCTCAAAACAAATTTGATTTGATATTTGAATTCCTAGACTTAATCTAGGCTCAACCTATCTTAAAACAAATCAATTTGATATTTTGCTCTCTTAGACTTAATTTACGCTCTACGTATCTTAAAACAAATCAATTTGATATTTTGAACTCCTAGACTTAATTTACGCTCTACCTATCTTGCAACAAGTTCAATTTAAAAACTTGAAATTCTTTCATGTCAACTGAACTGGGCTTAACTATCTTAATGCCAACTAGATTGGACTTATAATCTCTTATGGTTGTTTATGAATGAAAGACTCAATCCATTTTCACCTTAATCAAGATTTCATGACTTCAAACGTTGGATTGGGTGAGTTTCCACTCCTAAAGCTTGAAAAACATGCATTAGTTTTAACTCTTGCTTGAAAACTTTGCACTTTGATGTTGCCTGAACATGTACATGACTGGGAATGTATGCTTTCATGCTTATGATTCATTAAAGTTCCTTAACTCTTTTACTTCTCGCTCCATACTAAGCTTTTCATAATATCCTCTTCCTTTTCTTCATTTGTTTACACTCTCTTTCGGTGATTTTGGACATCTTCTAATCTCCTTTAGGCATCATTCTTTTTAACATTTTATCTTTTTGTCATGTTGAGACTCCACAACTTTAAAGAAAATTAATAACATCTCTTATGAAGGCTCTACAACTTTAAAGAAAATAAATGACTACTCGAAGGTTTTGAAAAATGTATTCGAAAGTTCTAGAAAGTGCACTTGGAGGTTTTAAAATGTGTACCTCGAGGTTTCATAAGAAAAGGTTGTTCTTCATCTTTAAATGAGGCTAAGTAACTTTAAAAAAGTATTAATGCTAATTGCCTAACGGTTTCATAAAAGTGTACCCATAGGTGTTGAGAATGTACTCAGAGGTTTTAGAGATACACTTAGAAGTTTTGAAGACATACCTAGAAGTTTTGAAAAATGTTGCTTCTCATCTTTGAATGAGGCTATGTAACTTTAAAGAAATATTAATACTAATTACCTAGAAGTTTCATAAAAATGTACTCGGAGGTTTTAAGAATGTATCCGGAGGTTTTGAGAATGTATCCAGAGGTTTTAAAAATGTACCTGCAGGTTTTAAAATGCATACATAGAGATTTTGAAGATACACTCGGAGATTTTAGAAAATGTACTTGGAGGTGTCATATGAAAAGGTTTCTCCTCATCTTTAAATGAGGGTACATAACTTTAAAGAAATATAAATACTAGTTATTTGGAATTTTTCAAAGTGGTTCTCAAATTAATCAAAGCTTGATGTCCTTTCAAAATTTTTGTGTTGGATGGGCTTTTACCTTTCCAAATGCATAAAAAATATGTGTGAATGTTGACTATTGCATGAAAATTTCCAACCTCAGTGTTGCATGGTCATGTACATGTATGCATAATTGCATGACAAAAGGAAAATGACTCACATGCCATCATTTCATTTCAAAGCATTCCTCTGTCGAAAGCCATTTTACTTATTTTTGCACACTCTTCAATGATTTTTGAGTAGTTGCCAATTGCTTGTAACAAAAGGACCTTCTTGCTAGTCTTGTCATATCGTTCCGGATTCTTGAAATCATTTCCCGAAAATAGATATCACCAACGAATCATGTATCGATTTAAATTTGATTTCAATGGTTCTATGCTTCTTGATCCTTCAAAAGTGATCCAAAAGATGCTTATCTCATTACTTAAAACTCTTGATATTCACATTATGGAAACAAAAGTTACCTTACAAAGATCAAGATCCTTTTCCTTTTTGAAACACATTGTCCTTTTGCTTTCAACAAATGTTGAACTATGACAAAATGCTGCCAAAATTCCCCCACAAAACTATTTTTAATGACCAAAGATGGTTAGGTTTTGGGAACAAAAATCAATCAATTTAATAGTTTTAAAACATGTGCTACTTGAATCTCTTGAAAAATTGATGATTATTGCTTGAAAAAACTTTAGATGGTAATTTGGTCTTTCAAATGGATTGGATGGTTTAATACATCAAGGTCTTAGTCAGCAAGAAAGGTTTCACCATTTCATGGAGGAAAAAAAAGTTAAAGTTCTTCATCTAAGCTCACAAATGAAAGGTGATTTTCTAACCTACACCTTTAGAATTAGATTTTGCAAAAAGATTCTTTTCAAATCACAATCAAATTAGACACTTTGATAAATGTCAAGACCAAGTATTAAAGGCTTAATATTGCAAAAGGCTATTTTAAAGGAGAAAGGTTCAAAATTCAACGTTAATCTTCTACCATAGTATTAAAATGCCTAAATCACTTTAAAGGTATCCAATGCATTCTAATTGCCTTTAATGGTCTCTCTTTGGAACTTCTTGTTACAACCTCAATCGAAATCATGAGTGGTTTCATAAGTTTTCATTTTCACCCTAAACTGCCCTTTCAAGTTTTCACCCTAGAGCTTCATCCTTTTGACTAACTTTTTCTCTCTTTTTTTTTATTGATTGTTCCATCATGCACTTGAAAAATTCAAACTTGATCCAAAATGACTTGAGGGATTCAAAACGGAAATTTTGGCAAAGAAAGAAGTCAAGGTCTCATTTTCTATATGATGATCTTTTTCTATAAGAAAGCTCTTCAATTTAAATATCCATACTTGATCAAAATAGACTTTCTTCAAGCACGTAATGTAAGCTATGGTTAAGGGTTCTACAAATATAGATACAAAGGCCCAAAACATGTATTTAAAAGTGATTAAACCAATGATCATTTCTTGTCATGTAAAAGAACTGTTGTAAGATATTTATCCTTTTTTAAAGCATGCTTTTTCCATCATTTCTTTTCTATGCTTTTTTCTTCTTCATTTTTTTTGTATTTTTTCATTGCAATTTTTATTTTTATAGACTAAGTTTGAAATTTTCAAGAACTCAAATTCACATCTGCCCCCATGATATATAGGATGTTCATTTTTCCCTCGGAATGTATCTTTTATCGTCCATACTTTTGACAAAAATGATTGCCCCTCAATGTGAAAGGTGATCTTTAGTTAAGGTGCATTTTAGAGAAAATTCAATAGGCTCAAAAGGGTAACAAGGGGATAACTTCTCATTTATGAAGGAAATATGAAACATGGTTATTTATCCTTTCAATTATAGTTACTTATATTGAAGAGCAATCCATAGAAAGGAAGAATTTAAGATTACAGGTTGATTTTTTGCATTTTCCCTCTTTTGGCAACCTTTAAGTATTTCAAGTGTATAATATCACTATCAACTTTCCTCGCCATTCTCTCACTTTCTTATTTTTTCTCTTTTTTTTTTGGTTTTTTTACTTCCTCACAACTCAAGCTTGAATCAATCTTTCTAAAACAAAAAAACTCATTAAGAATGTTTTTCCTTAATCAGCCATTCAAATAAAGGCACAAGGGACAACTCTTAAAAACAAAGATTCATTAAAAGCCTGAAGAAATCTACTATTAGAATCCCTTACCATGATCAACTTTTTATAACAAGAAATACCTTTGTTAAATAAGAAAGGGAAAAAAGCAATTTTTGAAGTCGAGGCGTTTTAGAGGTATTGGGTAATCTTATTCTTTTGGTCATCATGCCTTAGAATAAGGTTAAAGAATAACTTTGGATAATAGGTTGAAAGGTTCAAATTTGGAATCCAGTTGAAAGAATTTGAGAAGTTTTGGCATATTTGAGACTTTAGCATAGTCTTGACATGTATTAACTTACCGCATTCAGAGTCTTTACAAAAGTGCCTAATTTGCTTAATTTTTAAAGAAAGAATTTTACAAAATAGCCAATTATAAAGATCTTTATCTTTTGGTATCACATGCTAAGGTTGCTGAACTTTCGAAATTTTGCTTCCTTTTGAATTTAAGTTCTTAAATAGCCTTTATTTGAGTGGTTTTGGGTTCCAAAGTGTTTGGAGAAATAGTTGGAGAATGTTTGCAAGGACAAGTTTGTTCCAAATAGCAACAATCAATTCTTTCGAGATCATATGCACACTTTATTGTCCAAAACCTTTTTCCCCTTCATGACTTCTTTTCTCTCTCTTTTTTTTTAAATTAGTTTTTATGATCTTGGAAACGGGTTATAAAAACCTTTTATTAAATCAATTGTTACATAATTTTGCAAATTAATACAAAACTTCAAAAATTTTAATCCAATGAAAACATTAAAGCTTCAATTACAACTTTTAAAGTTTATATTTCTTAACAAAAGCCTACTCATGGCATGCACATGAATACAAAACTCCAAATCATCCATTTTTCTTGCAAGCAATTTGTTTGAAACTTGAGGCTTTTTTTTCAACTTCCTAACAATAACTCAATCCATGGTAAAGCTAATATCCAATGTTCCATAAGCTTAAAAGTCAAAGTGCCATCCTTGATGAGGTTTTTAATTTTCTCCTTTAATTGCCTACACTTCTCCATTGAGTGTCCATATGCTCCCATATGATTGTCACATTTAGCATTAGGGTCATAATTCCTTGCCGATGGATTTACAATTGTCTTCATTGGCATAGGACTAAGGTATTGATTCTCAATTAGTAGAGGCAAAAGATTAAAGATTAGCATTGGCAATTGATGAGTATTAGATCTTGGAAATGATCAAGGCACAATTAAAGGTGCATGTGCTTTTGGATCAAACGTTGGTTGTGGTACTAGTCGATATGGATATAAGTTATGGGAAATATGATTCAATGTGAGGGAAAATAGTTGGTATACACTATGAGGATGGCATAGGTTGATGCCCCATGGCTGTTGCCCCTCAAACGTAACAACGAGTGCTTCTTTTTTCCTTTTCTTCAATGCATCACATTTTTTCATGCTATTGACACCATTTTCTCCAATTTTACTCTTCTTAATTGCATTTTCAATTATATCTCCTAAAATCACTATGTCAGCAAAGTTCTTAGTAACGTTGCTAATTAGTCTATCATTTTATGATGGCTGTAAAGTACTCGATAAACAACACTGTTGCTTCTTTTTCAGTAAAAGTTTATTGAACCTGTGCAACAACATCTCTCCATCTTTGAGCATATTCCTTAAAACTCTCAGTGTCTCTCTTTTCCATGTTCTGCAAAAAAAGCCTATCCGAGGCCAAGTCTGTGATATGTTTGTATTGGACTATGAATGCTCTCACAAGATCTTTCCAAGAACTAATGTGATTCCCATTCAATTGAACATACCATCTAGCTACAGACTTGGTTAGAGTGTTTTGGAAATAATAAATCAAGAGTTTCTTATCATGTGCATGTGCAACCATATTTTGACAATACATAGCGATATAGGCCTTCAAGCATTTGGTTCTATCATATTTCTCAAAATCTGGTACTCTAAACATAGGTGGGATAATCACATCAGGTACCAAACATAAGTCTATTGCATCAATAGAACCATAGATGTCCATCCCTTTAATGGCTTTAAGGCATTCATCCAAAAAGTCATGCTTTTGTTGCATTCTCAATTCTTTCCCTGGCTCAAATGAGTCTACTTTCAATTTTCCTTGCTTTCCAAGGTCATCCAATTCAAAAATAAGAATTAGGTCAAAGAGATTTGCCCTCAAAATTGACATAGTTTGCTCTTGCACTGGCAATTGGCTCTATCTCTACGAACCTGATGATTTTTCGAAAGACCTTTCCCTTTTACTGGCAATCATTATCTCCATTAGCTTTGCTAACAGTTCCCTTATCTCTTCTTGATGTTTCTCAATCTTATCCATCCGTTTTGATTGCTCATCTCACATGATTCTAACTTAAGTCCAAGTATCACACAAACAATAAATAAACTTCTTTGTGCTTTTATCTTTTCACAAGATGAAAACAAATTAGATTAAGTGACAAATTATATCTTATTGAAAATTTTTCGAAATATATTCCCTCTTTATACAAGACTTGGAAAAAGATCTTTTATCTTATGGAATCAACAACCTTGTTGCCTCTCTTTTCATTGAATGTAGAAGGTTAAATGATGCTATTTATAAAAAAAAAAAAATTGATTGATAAATGCATATGTGACAAACTTGAATGCATGGTAGTTGATTGTATGTATGACAGGATGATTAAATGCATTTATGAGTCAATGGATAATGAATGATTTGGGGCACTTTTTATGCATAATAAGATTAGAACAAAATCTAAGTTGTGTAACACATTTTTTCAAACCAGCTCATTTTCCATTCAATTTTCTTTTTGAGAAATCAACCTTGTTATTATGAAACAAAATTCACTCTATGCTTAAATAAATATGGGAAGTCAATCATTGACACATTCAATCCAATATGTGACAATTCTTTGCACCATTAGAAGAATAATCTTAAACACATTCATTTCCTGATAATTGTTCACAAACATAAATCTATTTTTACGAACTTCAAAAAAGTTAAGGACTGCCATGTCTATATATTAAATGTTCTAAAGTCTTAAAAACTTTTACTCAAAAGGAAAAATCTCAATAAAGCCCAACTTTTGTCACCTAGACACTTAATAACATTGTAGGGTTTTTTATTATGGGAATAACTATGGCGAGAAATAAACAAGAAATGAATATAAGCATATGGATGCAAACATGTCATGTGTATAAATGCATGAAATGCAATAATGCCTTAATGGATAGATGAAGTGATATGCACTAAACTGCTCCTAAAATGTAAGAAAACTTGAACATTGTACACGCAATGCGAGTACAATAAAACTATATTATTATTAAAAATCATGTAAAGTGACAAGTGAAAAATTTATTCAAAACTAAAATTCTTTTTCTTTTTTTGAAAAGAATAAAAGAAACAAAAAACCCCTTTATTTCTCTTTTCATTCTTATCTAAATGAAAGACCCTTCTCTCTTTTATATTTCTTTTTCCCTTTTTTTTTACGAGAGAAAATAATTAAAATAAATATCATTTTTATTCTTTTTTTTTATAATTTTTAAAAAACAAAAGAAATAAAAAAAAGACTTTATTTGTTTTCTTTTCCTTACTTTTTGTTTTTTGAAAAGTCATCATTCAAAGAAAATAACTCTCTTTTTGTTATTTATTTTATTTTATTTAAAACTTACTAGGATGCCATTAAGGGTGAAATAGTCAAAATTATTATTGATATTGACATATTAATTCACTTTACGGTTCATTTGTTTTTTCATTATTTCCATAATGTTATGCTGAAAATCAAAATAGAGAGATTAAAACGTATTCCTTAATGTGTTCCTATTTAAGGGTATATCCTTCATAGTAGGTTGGAATGGCTCTACCTAAAAGAAGGCTACTCACAATTTTCTACATGTTGAGTTTGGTTTTAGTCGAAGCCAAGAAGTTTCCAAATTGAAGTTTCCTCATTGTCGTCCACTCAAAATAGAAAAACACCCCGATCCTCACCCGTTGCAAATTTCAAACAAATTAGGTTCATTATGAGTAACAATCTTTTCACTAATCCATGCGAAAATTATCATCTCACGAAAACGTAACTACTTAACTCCCTCCTCTAAACACTCATTTACCTAACTACATATATTTTGTAACAATAACATCTTTTGTGAAATTTCGCGAAAACCTTATCTTAATTTCTACTTATGGGCACTACCTTTAGTAGCTCACCTAACGACGATGGTATAAAATTATAAATCGTCATAATATTACTTTACATTTTATGCTAATATCTATATATCTATGCATTATGTTATGATCCTAAGTTATAATATTTCAAGACTTTCTACTATTGATTATAACATTTTATATATGTAATTTTTAGTATATGAGCTTGCTTTAATCCTCACCTACAAAAATTTAATAAAATGAAAAATATAATAACACAACTATTACAATATGTATTATTATATCAATGTGCAACGCACAAGGTTCATTTATAGTATTGAATTATAATCCACTTTATTAGATCATAATTTTAAACTATAATTTCATTTCTTTATTAAAACCAAATTAACTTAATTAACTTTTAATCAAATAAACAAATAAATAGTATAAAAAATTTATAAGAAAATCTAACACTGTATACATAAGGTAACATACGGTGGTTCTAGATCATATATATTATCCTATTTATTTAATTCTTTACGGGTTCTAAAGCTTCAGTTTAATTCACAAAAAATTTCATGTAATTATTCCATAAAAAAATAAAAAAGAATTTCATGCAATTAGCATTATGATTAACTATCAGTCATTAAAGACCCACAATCGATCATTTAGTCGACGGTAGGGATACTGTGGATACTTTACCCCTTTCCCTATCCCTTTTCAATCACCCATTCTGTGTTCCAATGCCCAGGAATTGCTACCTTTTATTTTTTTCAATCTCTATGAAAAAAAAAAAAACAAAAATGATCAAGAAAAGGAATCAAAGCCAAGGCAAAGGGTAGGGAGAGACACTCAGCTACCAAAAGATGATGATAAGGCTGACGTGGGACATCACAGCCACTGCCATGGTGCAGCGGAGTTCTTCCTACTAAAATTTTCTCTCCCAGCACAGGGAGGTGAAATAAAGCCAGACCCAACCTGCACAGTTGCATCATGATGTGTTTTCAGCATTTCCTTTATGAAAAGCACCTTGTCTTAATAATTCAATGTCAATTCTATCTTTAGTCCGATGCATGGCAGGGAAAAATAATCTTTAACAAAATGCTTTGTGGATAACTAAAAGGATTGAAGACTCTGAGATTGAGAAACTCAAACGGAAAAGCTGACTCAACATTATGAATGTGTTTTGGCATAAAGCATATATCTACATAATTAAAAAGCAGAGCAAGTAATTATGCATGCTTATCACTGCAAAAATTATCCCAAACTAAACCATAGGTTGACATAGTTATAAAAGTAGAAGGAATATATATAATTCCAAGCCTACCCTTGATCTGATGTAGATAGTAAATCCTGCAAGCTTTAGAAATTTTGACTTTTAAGTAGGTGTCGACTCTAATTGTTGTTGTTGTTTCGTCTTTACTTCATCAAGACAAGCTTCAAGATTCCTGAATTCTTCAGTGTCTGAAAAGATCCCAGCCTAAAATGCCACAATTCTACCTTAGAAACAGTTCTCATGATTAAGGATAAATATGTAATTGACAATTTTAACCATGGAAAATATGAGCACGGATAAACTTACACTCAAGTAACAATTATATATGTTATGCAATTTCCTATCCGTTTGCTGAGCAAACAAATAAAAATTCCCATCTGTTTGTAAATTTCATATTTTGTTAATCAAGATGTTAGACCTAATGCTCTATCATGTAATTGTAGTTGTGCAATTGCAAGTTGCTAGAAAATGCTTAATTGTTTTTTGACATCACAAATCAAACGTTAAACATATATCATAAAAGACAATATTCCTGATTGATGTGATACAAAAATCTTCAACTTAAGACTTTACATGAATGATGAGAATGAATAAATTATTGAATCATGGTTGATTCAATAGAAAATAGCTATATTATATATATAAAGTTACAGAAGAGTGTAACAATAAGCAATTGTAGGAACACATTAGTGAGAAAGTTTAAAGTTCAAACTAAACTAAAATATATACAAAAGATAAATGCAGCAACAATGCAATTTAGAATGCATAGCAAAATAAAACTACTTACCTGTTTTAGAACGTTCTTCAAGTGCATCTCAGCTGTAAGTAGTTCTCGACGACTACCAGTTGAGGAAGAAATATCTATGTAGGCCTTACAAAGTTCCAACGAGGCCTGTGCAAACTTTTTAAAGCTGTCTCCATCTTTCCACAAATTAGATCCCTGGGAGAGAGAGATTAGAGTCAAACTCATGGCACAATAGCAAAATAATAAGAATAAATGATATGCCAATCGAAATAGAAATCATTTGTAGAATGACATTTTTTATCGATCGCATCATATAAATCCATTAAATTAGGATATAAAGGCACATGCATAAAAAACATAAAGGAAGAGGGAATGATAACAGAAATTGAATAGACTTCTGTAATTGTCATCATGGTACAGAACTACATTCAAGTTATGCCTAAAGTCAATCCTGAATAATAACACAAGGCATAAACAATAAGTGCCAGCACAGACAAATATCTCAGATAGGAATCACATATTTTCCATAACTCTTTCCATTAATAAACTCTTTTGAAGAAGGAAAGATAATGGGAAACTGATGCAGACAATGAGAAAAGTCTGATTGAGAATTTAATTATCCCCTTACTGAGAAAATCCAGCCATAATTCCTCAAACAAGGAGCAATTACACAAGGGCAGATGCAAAATAAAACTGCAAAAAGTGCTTGGGCATACACTTCTCTGTCCAAACAGAAAAGCAGTGATGGCCAGTAATGTTGACAAAAAGGCAGGTAACAGATTTTCAGCCACGCAATCCTCACTTCAGTCTTTGATATCAAGAATTTACACAAGGAACCCTGGCTTCAAGAGTGTGGTTTGAAAAGAAAGTTTCACAAACAGATTGAAACATCAGTAATTGTATTTGGTCCTATTTAATTTTTCTGAGAAAGAGAAAAGTAGATGAGCAGCTGGGAGGTAGGATGGGAGAGAGGAGGCAGATACGAAGGTGGGGTACTAAGGGGTGAGGGGACAAAGTCCAAGCCAAGCAAATCAAATTAAAATATATATTGGCACTCTTCAGCTTCCTAGAAGGCACCTAACTTCAGGCATGTTTAGAACAAGCTTAAACTCAATAGAATTCTTCAAAATCAAGCTAAGCTCTTTAATTCTTAACCATCATGGCACTTTTGGGCCCATTTTTTTTGTATACATCTCACTTTTGACTCAAAAGAACCTCATCACAAAGTCATAATATAAGTCAAAACATACATATTAGAGAATATAAAATTGCTAAGCTAAGCTCTCTAACTCTTAACCATCATGGCACTTTTTGGCCTACCTTTTTTTATACATCTCACTTTTAACTCAAAAGAACCTAATCAGAAAGTCATAATATAAGTCAAAACATACACATTAGAGAATATAAAATCACTAAAAAGCTCTCTCACAATTTAGGATTGTCAACTTGGTAAACTCATATAATACATGACGTCAATCTCCAGATAAAAGAATTTGCTAGGAGCCCCCTAAAATATACTAAAAAAAGCACATTGATAATAACAGAATACAAGGCATTGAATGTTGATCGAGATACCTGATAAGATCTAACTTGCTTTAAGAGAGCTTCACAGCACATAGTAAGGTCACCTTTAATTCTATGCCACCTTGCATATAAGCCCCATAATTCTGCCCTACTTTCACTTCGAACTATCTGTATTGACAAGTCTTCATATACATTAGATATTGAGTAAAATATTACATGGGCATAATTTAGCCCAAATTTGTACAGCCCAAGTAATGCTAGTATAAAGCAGTCTGTCAAAGTGCAGATGCATCCTGATACCAATTTAGAAGTTTTACGATTGGTGTCAAGCACGAGAAATCATATAAGGAGACGATTGTTGACTCCCCACATGAGAGAGTTTGGTATCACTCTCTGTAAGGAGAAAAGATAATAGAACATAATCACAATCATGAAAGTGTTTGAAACCTGTTGTAGAATTTTTCCAAGAAACTCCACCAAATGCTCATTTTCTCCCAATTTTCCCGCGGTCTGCTCAGCATTTGAAGATTTATTAACAGAATATACAAGCGAATCAGGACTGGTCTGATTGGAAAAATCATCATCACTGGCTACAGCAGACTGTCTAACTGAAGCCCTTTCCTCCAAATATTGCGTGATTCTCTCAAGTAATTCAACATCAATTCTCTTACTGTTGGTCATACTTAACACCATCTTAATAGCTTCCAGAGCCTACAAACAGAAATACATAGATAAACTAGCATAAAATAGAAAGTAAAAAGTCAAGTGAAGGTATAATCATAATTGCAATTGCTAGGCATTGAACTGATGGCTATATGAGGAAACGCTTACACGCAGAGAATCTGAGGTCGAGAACCAGAGATAACTAAGCATATATCAAATTTATCTTACTTATAAGACCTCAATCAAGGTCACATGCTGTTTTCTATCTCCTCTTTCTAGTCAGAATATCAGTTTCTCTTAGACAAGGGGAACAATTCATATAGCTAATAACAGCAGTGTGGTGAAGGCTGTGTAGCGGTGAACTGTATTATATCTTATAACAGTAAATTTGCTCTTAACATGCCAATTTGAAGAATAATCCTTTCTATTTGTAAGAATAAGCTTTTTCCCAGGTTCAAAAAGAGCAGGAAAAAGCTAACCTGACCAGAATGACCCACCCACCCTACCCCGAAACTTAACCCAATTTGACTCTAAGGCTTTGCTTGACAAGAGAATGGAGTGGGGATCGTGGAAAAGGTGAAAAGAAGAAAGGATTTTAGGTGTTAAAGAAAATCCAGAGCAAAGAAAACGGAAGTGATGGATGTTTTCTTTCCAACCCACAGCGCAATTCCAAATTGGGCGGATGAGGAGAGAGAAAATAAGGCGTATTTGGATAAACCCCATAAATGAACCTTTTTACACCAGATCTTAGAACTAACCCAATAAAATCCAGTCATGTTATTGGAAATTACAATTTTTAGTGAATAATTTTCAAAGTGTATGATTGAAAATTTTACTTTTATTTTCTTTCCTCACTTTTCAACTCTACCATGGAAAGAAAATCATTTTTTTTCATCCACATTTCCATCTTCCCTACCAAGCAAATATGGAAAGAAAAACATGCTTTCAATCATTTACTTTTCTACTCTCCCAACCATCTTTCCATTTTTCTGTCCTCCGTACCAAGCAAAACCTAAATCTCAATAACCAGAACATGAATAAAAAAAAACACAAGAGACTCAAACCTGAATAAACTGAAACCCAAAAAATTTTTGAATCCACATGAACCTGTAGAGATTCAGACACATATCAATCCAAGCCTGACCCTCAACCGAACCCCAAATGATCCGAAACCTAAATCGAGCATAATTTCTATTATTTTTTCATTTTAAATATTAATTTAATTAAAAAATGAAAACTAGAATACAACTTAGTATAATAATGACCAGAACTCAACTCAATTTCAGTTAATTTAAAAAATTCAACAACCCAAACTTGAACAATCTGAAACACAAAGTGATCAGCTAATAATAATTAACAGATATAAAAATTTTTCCAGGCATGCCAGACAAAAGTGCTCCGAATTAGATCTTCATATGAATTAAGCAGAGCCTTCCAAGAAGGGCCAAAGAGAAGACTAGTTTGATCTTAAAACAAATCGACTAATTAGCTAAGTAAACAGCTCAAAACCAAATTACATAGGCAAGATTACCTGACCAATGTTGCCAACATCCAAAGCAACATGGCTGTAGTTCTCCCACATCTGCCAGCTGTCTCGCCTGTCACCAAAACAGGTTGTTTGTTACAGTAAAACAATAAACAAGTGTCCTTGAAAATAAGTGGCCTGGTGCGTGCAAAAGTGCATGATTCAATCAAGGTGAAAAAGTAGTACTTATATTTCAAGGCCTCCTTGAATGCAATATAGGACTCTTTGCTCTTGTTCTTAATCATATGCCTGCATATTCAACAAATATGTTGTAATTGATTAAATTTACCATGCACCTAAAGTTTATATGGTCAAAAACCAAACCATAATTTTCATCGAAGAGAAAAAATAAAAGAACTATGATATAGCAAATTCCAGTATACAACAAAAAGCACAAGTCCAATAGTGATATATGGTTAACAAAAAAAATATATGCAGAACACAGTTCAACAAAGATATATCTCGAAAAATGAGGCAAGAAGATCATAATTGACTATTGAGACTAAAAAATGATATCAAACATCTGAATAACACTCTACACAAGCCCTAAAATACAATCCACACTTCCAATCTTCCTAGTGCTCAAAGTATGTATCCCAATTCCTAACGGGCCTACCTGAAACTTAAAATTGTTTTGTCTAGTTCCATAATATACAACTCTCGCTTACTATGACGCCAGCAATAACATTCTTCAATCGGAGCTAGAACCAAGCCAAAAATCTTTAGATAATTTCCATTTCTAAGTCCAAATTTCCACTTCAAAGATACCCGTCTCTACACAGATGTAGAATGTTATGTTGCTCCGACTCTTCATTTCTCATAAACTATCCATGTGTGACACATATCAACAGACATGGGTATGGAGGTCACACCCTCCAAATACATGGGAAAACTCACCCCCATATCCAACTTTTTAGTCTATATTATTTGGGCTTGGGGGTGAGTGTTGGATATGGGTGTGTCCTACATAGGTATTTCAACTTTTTTACATGTAATAAGCAGTTTCACATACTTTTCTCCTCTTATTACATGTATATATCTACACACACACATATGTATGTATGTATGTATGTATGTTAGCACTAACAATGTGCTCCCTATTCTTTCTCTTGATGAGACAAAAAGATCTGAAGAAAATATAAAGGGTTCACCTTCCTTTCTTTTCAACATCCTTTCCCATATGAAGATGTTATCCACTTATTTGTTATATCAATTGTTACCGTTATCATATTAAGTATATATTATACAACCTTCCCTTGTACTATACCAGATTAAGGCATTTCAAAATGGTACATGGATTTGCTGACAGCTTTTAAACCTGCTTTATGAGTCTAGCATCTATAAGAAGCTAGTCATTGAGTGCATTAAAAGAACCAATAGTCAGTTGAAGAAATACTAACCGGACTCGTGAAATATGCTCAACAAATCAAGGCTATGAATTTTTCTGTGCACTAGATCCAATGAATTAATTTTGGCCCACAAAAACACCTGTATTATGTTCCCAAAACCAGTCGAGCATTTTTACATGAGAAATCCAAAGGTAAACTATCACACCATTCACATTTGTTTGGTGCAACATATGATAGGAAAGAGGCAGGAAATGATGTGGATTTGAATGGTCAATGGTGCAATACAAGAAATTGACTTCAGGCTGCATTAATAAGGGAGAATAAACCAGGATTCAGGAGGATGTCAAGAGTTCTGAACAAATTTACAACAAAAGGTTTTGTTTTTTGGAACATAGACAACAAAAGATCTTGATATTGTTTATAATAATGCCGTCTCAAGATGTTAGTGTCATTTATGATGGATATACCCTTCCAAACTTTTATATTCATGACTCAGCAATTCATAGGTCATAAGCAGGTGCACATCAAGAGATGTCTTGAAATACGGAAGCTAAGCAAAGTTTGAAATCTGATATAGCCTATATTAAAAAAAAATTTAAAAAGGTAGAAATATGACCTGGAAGCTTTGAGGTAAGATTTTCCAGTTGCTCTAACACTACACTTTGCAGAAGAGCTCAGAACTTTAGCAAACCACACGGTTTTCACTTTTCACTAGCACACTAACCTAAAATCAGACGACCAGGTGGTAACTATAATAACCAATTCTCATTACAGCAATTTAATTCATCTAGACAATTATAATAATCCAGATTTAAGATGCAAGTAAAACAAAAGAAAATCTTTTCTCGGAGCAAAGAAAAAAATCTTAAGGCAGAAAAATATAAAAACCAATCCCAATGTATTAGAGAAGTTCCTAATACAAAAATCATCCCATTAAAATAGCAGTAATTGGAATTGCCTGATGAGGAGAAAAATACAAATATCTTGGGCAAACAAATATAAGATATGATAAAAGATGAAAGAGACAAGAGCATACAAACAAGCAATATTGTTCCAAGCCTCCCCATTTTCAGGATCAAGTTGCACTGCTCGAGTAAAACCATCAAGTGCCTTTTCAACATCCCTAGCCTGTATGTCATGATCTTAATCATAAGCTTAAAAAGTTTAATAGGGCAACTAACCCACACAACAAAGAGAACCTTAAAAATCCATTTTCTTATTTATACTCTAAAGTGCACAAAAATCGGTGCAGAAACTGATAAATAAAGATCCACAAGTCGACTGGCCCCCAAAAAACAAAGATCAAGTTGCATACCTTCAATGCAGCAGCACCAAGTGCAAACCATCCACCTGGATACAATGAATTCAAGGCCATGGCAGACTCCCTGGTTTAAGTTTAATCAGTTTTTCAGCCCAATAATCCTTTTTGTTTTATGTTCAACCAAATAAATCATAAGCTGCAAAAAGCTATCAGTCATATTGTATCGGAAACAATTGTAGAAGCAATCAGGAAAATATACCATAGGGTCTTAGATGTCTCATAGTCTCCTCTTTGATACGCATTACGAGCAAGAGAACGCTGACACAAAAAATAATAATAATAATGTAATAAAAAATGCTAAAACAAAACATACTGAAAACCATTTAATTATAAGCCAAATAAGTCACCTTAGCTCGTGCTGACCTATTATTTGAAATTTCCAATGCTTTTTCATAACAGGCGTCACTGTTTGTAATATCACCCAATGAACACCTAGAAATTAAAAATTACATGTTAGATATATTACACTAAATTTAGCAATTTCTTTCCACTGGACAAGACTCAATAAGCTTGTGTCCACGTGTGCAACATAACAAAACCAAAAAGTTCCATAACCATATCCATATTTAAAGGTCAAAAATACTTAATAAACAGAAAACAGCAGAGGTGCCGTAAGTGCCACCTTTAAGTAAAGCCTTCGAAGGCATAGAAGCCACAATTACAGGGGACTTCCTATAAGATCAAATCACATTTCATTTAGAAAAAATAATCCATGGAAGCATAGATTAAGTTGTCTTTCATCTTTATCAAACCTTTTTCTTGAATACGAAAATATAAGTTCAGGGGGCAGGGATAGCCCATAAATGAGATACATGCCCTTATACAAAACAAATACAATATCTTGACAGTAATTCCCTTACGTACACCTTTACCAAGACTTTATTTGGCATGAATATACTAAGTCATGAACTTTTAAATTATGGCATGTATCATCAGAGGCCATCATCCTCTTTAATGGTAAAAATGTCGTGTTGGTATGTACAAGAGCAGGGTTCAAGCCAAGAGAGGACATTTAAATAAACATTCTAGAAGTTAAAATCATATCACCCACTTTTACATGAACACAGCTAGGGTGATGACCCTTTGGCCCCTTAAGAAGAAATAAGAGAGTCACAATCAAAGTGGAGAGGTAAGTCTGCATCGAAGTGAAAATCTTTCAGAAACAAGGAGGACAAAACCAAAAATTGCTTCTTGTGTAACGGACCGCATTGGGTTCGAGATTGCCCGAAGCATACAAAGCTAGTGGCGATAGCCTCGGAGGAGGAGCCACAATCAGACGAGACAACGCGATTGGGCTTAGTCGAGCCAAGGGACTCATGTACGCAGGCATGATCATAACGGGACAACCGGTGGAAACGTTGCTAGACACTGGTGCCTCTGATCTTTTTGTGTCCGAACAGTGCCGCTAAACTAGGCATTAGAACCGACAATGCAGGCGATTGGGTAAAAACAGTAAACTGCAAGAGAGTACGCACAAAAAGCATTGCCAAGGGGATCTATGTGCAACTTAGACAGTGAAATGGAACTGTGGATATCGAGATCATCCCGATGGATGACTACGATGTAGCTATGGGGATCGAATTCCTAGACAAAATTCAAGCCGTTCTCATGCCGCACGACGACTGCATCTGTATCTTAAATCAAAAAAAGTAGTGCGTAGTACCGGTCAGACGAGGACGCGCTCAACCAACGAAAACATTATCTGCCATACAACTAGCCAAAGGCGTACGCAAGGGTGAGCAGACGTTTGCTGCTGTGCTGAGTCTAGAGGATACCCCCGGCAACGTGATTGAGGCGTCGGCAGAAGTGCTTGAGGTGCTGGAAGAGTTTCAAGATGTAATGCCTCCAAAGCTGCCAGGTCACTTACCTCTCGCACTAGAAGTGGATCATCACATTGAGCTAGTGCCAGGGGCACACCCACCCACCATGGCACCGTATCGGATGACGCCTCCCGAGTTTGCAGAGCTGAGAAAGCAACTTGGGGAGCATATTGACGCTGGATTCATCAGGCCGTCCAAATCTCCTTTTGGTGCTCCGGTGTTGTTTCAAAAGAAACATGATGGATCCTTGAGGCTATGCATCGGCTATCGGGCTTTGAACAAGCTGACGGTCAAGAACAAGTACCCGATCTCGCTCATAGCCGATTTGTTTGATCAGCTAGGCAGTGCACGTTGATTTTCGAAGCTGAAATTACGGTCTGGGTACTACCAAGTGAGGATAACTGCAAGGGACATATCCAAGATAACATGTGTAACTCGATATGAGGCGTACGAGTTCTTGGTAATGCCATTCGGATTAACAAACGCACCAGCAACATTCTGCACTTTGATGAAAAAGGTATTATAACCCTTTCTAGACAAATTTGTAGTTGTTTATCTTGACGATATTATTGTCTATAGACATTCGTTGTAAGATCATGTTGAACACCTACGGTTGATTTTTGAGACTCTTAGACAACATGAGCTATATGTGAAGAAGAAATGTTGCTTCGGTTTGTATGAGGTGCCGTTCTTAAGGCACATTGTAGGAGATGACAAAATCCGAATGGACCTGTCCAAGGTGAGTGCTATCCAAGAATGGGAGCCGCCCGCCAAGGTAAGGGAGCTGAGATCTTTCCTT